TATCAATTTATATTCGTATTGTATGTATAATAAATCGGATTATATCTTCATCTAAATGATTGTTAGGTTGATATGATAAGTTCATTCATTTATACGGGAGATATTTGAGATTAGTTGCATATTTAAGATAGTCAATCGTCTATTGATAAAAATAATGTTAGTTCTACAATATATTTGATAAAATTATTTTAAGATATTATAATTTTATAATCTATAGATTTTTATGTTCGTAATGTGTGTGAATATATTTTATATTTTTAGCACAAATTTTGTTTTAAACGAATAATTTTAAATAGTTTTAAACAACGTTTATTTTATTTATAGTTTGAATATCATTTCACCATTAAAAATAAAATAGAATTAAGTACACATACTTTTTATTATGTAATACAATTTATTTTTAAAAGAAATCGAAAAATTAAAAATCCTGGATTAGCGAACGAATAATTTTATTAAAATAACCTTCAAGCAAATTGGAATCGTTGTATTATAAGCACAATATATTCACGTTTCGTTAGGTTAGTTTCTTCATGTTTCTTGTTACTATTTAATATGATATTTATTTATTTTAAATAAACAAGATAAATCGATATTCTATTATTATTATTTATTATTATGATATGTAAATCAAATAAGTCTACTTTACAGTGATAAATATTCGCCGAATTTATATAATATGATCAACATATAAGTATTTTATTATTATGTTTTGAGCTTAATAGGTCACGTAACCGAACGAAGCATACCGTATGCTTGCCGTTCTTCCACTTGCACGCGCATCCCGCCGGACATCCGGGCGACGACGAGATGGTCATCGTCGTCATCGTCGTCGTCATCATCATCATCATCATCGTCATCGCCGTCGTCGCCGTCGTCGTCCATGGAACCATCACCGCTGCGCGCCAATACTCATATTGCACATGCAGTGTTGGTCATCGTCACCACCGTTGTCAGAACCGACCTGCAACAAATAAGTACACGACCGCGGTAAGTTGTTATATCGTAATAGGTATGTGACGTGTATAATATTTTTGGGAACGCATTTGTGTGGCATAATAGTATTCACTCGTGCCATATAATAACATTACTGTGTAAAATATTGTTTCGCGCGTGTGACGAGTTTTTAAAACACCGACGATTACGACGCCGGAAGCGATAATATCGTCTCTACTTTTTTATATTATAATTTATTCTCACGATATTGTCTGGTGTATAATATTAACACGACTGTGATCGTCGTGTATCCCCGCGATGGTAGTCATCGATGCGGCTATAATGAGATTGCGGAACCAGCGTTAATCTTACTAAATGTACATACCAAATGGCTTTTGCGAAATTGATTAGGTACTACATGTCTTGCAATCAACCACACGGCTACACACACTATCGGCAGAATTAAATCGCACATTCGAGCATGACGTTACGAAATGGCGTGTCGTAAGTCTTCCACGCACCCACTTTATCTTTTACTTGAACGTATTCGCCTTTTACACTCGTTATACCACAGTTTTTATTTTTATTTTTCAAACACTCTCCAATCGACAGTTCGTCAATCTCAATACCTTTGGGATAATATCAAGACAGCTCATCACAATTATCTATTAATATTTTGCCTAAAACATTGCTTACTATTTATTTATTTTTTTAAATATATGTATATATTTATATATAATTAAGATTCTTCTTGGCTCAACAGATTACATATTATTATTTAAAAGATATGCAATAATTAATTATTAAAAATAATGATAAAAGTTCACAATTTGTGGAGTGCAGACTAGCCAGCTGCTACCTATGTCTAAATAATAATATATTAAACGCCAAGGGTATAACAGATAAGTCCTTATGACAACAATGTATACAAAAAATAAATATGAAAAAATAGTCGCGATTAGCGTACATGATATTAAATATAAAAAAGTGGCGATTTGCGCACATGATATAATAAAAGTAGTGGCGATTAGCACCTATACAATATAATAAAAAATGAAGTGATTCGCGTCATTATAAAAAATTTAATAAAATGTATGTGGCGATTAGCGCACAGAGGAACACGAAAAGCACAATACGATCGGCGCACTCGTTGAATAAGAAAAAGGATCAAAATTGTATACTAATAATGTGCATACAACCGTTACGGAAGACAGTTCGATGACGTCGAGAATTTTTAATTGACTAAGAAAACTTGTAAAATAATAATAATATTATAAGGACGACGGAAAAAAAGCCGCGTTAAGCTGCGCGCCCAGTGCATCGACGATTGACAATAACGCGCGTCGTTATGTAATAAATTAACATATCAATACATTATATAATTTATAATGATAGTAATATTATTATTATATAAAAATAAATATACAAGTGTAACGGAATGTGAATGTGTGTGTGTGTTACCAGCTGTTTCTCTCGTATCCGTGATCTACTTATATGTATTATTTTTAATTAGTTATAAAGGGTGCTTCATAAAGCGCGCAATTTTTGAAATACGTAGGATTTTTGTTTGTTTGGAATGGTTAATATCCTGTTTTAATTATTTTTTTTCATCTATTATTACTCTGATTTGAAGGGAATTGGTTTTTATTGAAATTAATTGATTCAATAACCATTAGCGTACACTCATACTGAAAACTCATTTTAAAAACGGCGAGTACGCAGCTGTGACTGTCCGTAAACTTCGCACGTCTTTTGGACGTGGGGAAGCTCCTACTGCATCAATATTTCTAAGGTTGGTACGGAAATTTGGAAAAATTGGTTTAGTTGAAACAAAAAATGTTCAAGGTGAAATCAAACCGTACAATTTGTATACACACTTAGTGAAACAATGCGGTAGTACGAATAGTGTGAATGTGAGTCTTAGAAATGACGGCCAGCAGAGACGTGGAATTGGACATATGGTGGATATAATTTTTAAACGTTAAATCGAAATGTATTTTAAGCGTGATAAAACAAAAAGTTAAAATTTATTTATGATTTTGGTTGATATATTGCCTTTTCAAAAATTGCGCACTTTATGAAACATATATATATATATATGTATAATAATTATATAAATTATTTGAAGTGGTGTCACTGGACGCCCCCTTCTCTCAAGTCCACATGTATTTTTATTTTCTACTATAAGTCTTCAAAATTTCTTATTGTATAAAATAAATGTATACAGATTATAAATATTAATTAGAAAAAAAAAAAATAAAAAAATATAAATTTTATTGGTGGAAACAAAGACGTTAATGAATCACGATAATATTACGAATTTTATACATAATAGTTATTTATATTATTTAGTACATCTTATAAACATTTGTGGAATTTTTGTATATTTTTCGCCAAGTACTGCCATAGTAATTGCATTAATAAACTACCAAGTATTCATGCACACAAAGACAGTATTATTTTTATACATAATGTTTTTTTTTATAGTTGTAGTTAAGAGACCACAAACTTATTTTAAATGTCCATAATTTATCAGATTACAGATATTATGTTATTGTATAATTTTAAATTAACCTCATGGTTTAATTACTAATTTTAAAGTAAAAATCAATTTTTTCAAGAAAATGTAAAACACTAATACTTGTAGTACCTGCATGATTTTATAAAATGTTGCAAAGAAGACAATTTTATTATTATAGTAATATATTATGATATTCCATCATGGCGATTTTGTGTTCTATACAGAGATGTATTACTATTATCTAAACAAAGCGCCGTGTTACACATAATCATGATAAAAATAACTAATTAATTAATCGAGTTACGTTTGGTTTATAAGAATGTGCTTGTACTGATTTCACTCAGTTCAGAAGACAATTGAGTATTATTATTCAAATAAATTTTTACGTTCATGTAATATTGAATAAAATGTTTAGTGTAAGAATTATAATAAAGTTGATTAATTTTCAAACGAGTCCGTGGTAAAATTTACTTTTTAAAATTTTTCTGAAGTATTTCGTTTAGTTAAGTAAATTAATTATAAAGATAACAATGTTTCTTTAAGGTATTATTGCTCAACAAGTTTAAAATCTTAAAATACATGAAATGTTCAGAAGTTTCTTTGTAATATTAAACAGTGATTACATTTATAATCATCAATTTGAAAAAAAGTATCTAGATTAATATGTTGTATTAACCAGTAAATTTTTAACATGTTCTTAATCTCTTATCTACGTTTGACATGAAATCTGCAATGGTAATCAAAAAAATAATTAATTTCGTATTAAAAGTTGGTTTTGTTATTTAATATTGTATTTGTGTTTTTTATTTTCTTTAAATTATTTTATTTAGTATTTGATAGTTTGATTGTTTACCCCAACACACCTTTCAGAATATTCTTTTTTAAATTTTTATTTAAGAGCTTTTAGTCATTGATAAGTTATTCTTATTAAATCAAATAATATTATGAATGTATTTGTCATTAAAAAGAAAAAAATACAGAATATTATTTATTGAAACTGATCGATAAAAACATATTTTATTTGATATTATGAGTTATTTTGGTTTTTTTTTTTTTTTAACAAAATTTGTGAAGTTGACTTATTTTGTTGTTGAAAAGTTCTTATCAAAAACAGCAGATGAAAAAAATTATTTTACGTGATTTCTTATGTGTGAATTTTTTTCTGTTGTAATATATTTTACCATTGAAAGTTATGACTTTGACAACTGTAAATGACTGTGTATGAATTGTTGTAAATTCTTATAAATACATTGAAAAGTTTTTTCAAAGGTATAATAACATTTGATACTATTTTTTTAAAATTTAAAATTATCTTAATGGTTTATATTATATTGCATTGAAGTTCAACAACACGCAATTAGTGTAATATGTAAATATTGTTTGTACCCGCGTTAAAATACGGAGAGATTTTCATTTCACGGAAATAAATGATTAATCATGAATACAATGGCACCTATAGTATATGGTTTGTTTAATTTATATATTTAATTTAATTTGCATTTTTGGATCTAATATTTGCAGGTTTGAAAAATATGATCATGTAAATTGAATTTAAATGTAAAATGTATATATTATATTATGCTGCGTTGTTTAAATCTAAATTATTTCCAGAGTATGGTGTTAAAGTAGTTCTTCTACATTTTTTTATTACATATTTTGCAACAATAATAATCCTATAAAGTTTTTACGATGGCGTAGCATGTATTATCTACGCAAGCAATTTTCTATCATAAGACGTGTTTCATTTGACGTATCAGACGTGGCGTGTAGGTGCTAGTCTATTTATTGGCATAAAAAATATTTGTATTATATACATTTTTAGAGTTTGATGTATGTAATATCTTTTTCGCATGTGTACTATTTATTTGTATATAATTTAGTGAGTTAGTATGTAAAATAATGGGTGCTGACATAATATGATCGTTCGGAGTATTCATTCTTCATAGACAACCGAATATCGATAAAACGTATATTAATAAGTTTATTGGTAAATATTATGTATTAATAAAAACTGAAAAGTGTGTGATATCTTAAATAGTAATAATAAATCATAATTAATGATTTATTTTGATGAGGTATGGATAGTTGGCAACGAATAAATTAAGTATAATCGAATAGCTAACAAATACAAAGATTAAGATGAGGTCATACCACATGAATTGTTTTGGTAGTATAAGCGTTAACATGACCAATTTTCATTTTTAAGATCTAACATATTTTATTTATTATCATTGACTATAAAATATTATATAACAGGGGTGGGCAATTGGCAGCCCGCGAGCCTTTTTTATCTGGCCCGCGCTACATTTTCAAATTGCATTAGGTATAGGTATATAATTTTAACCTATGTCCTATTTTATTATATAAAAAATAAATGCTATTCAAAATATATATTTTGAATGAGTTTTTTTTTTTGCTTTCTATGTTCTGGCCCGCTATATTTTAAATTTCTAAAAATTGGCCCTATAGTAACTTTGAGTTGCCCATCCCTGTTATATAATATTAAA